CCGAGGAGACCACCTGGACTTGATCCGGCCTAGGGCGACGCGGAGGAAGCCGCCTGGCCTCGATCTAGCCTAGGGTGGCATGGGGAGGTTGGAGCCTGCCCAGGTCTTCGTCAGTGATGAGCACACACCAGGTTCGTAGGCCCCTTCTCTTCCCTTCCTGCTGTGCAAAACTGAGAACCATGCAGAATTTGTCTGGCGTTGAAACCCTGTGATGAGAATTGAGAAACGTTGTCGATAACTAACCCGAGTGATTGCGATATGCCGCAAGTGGCTGAGGAGACCAATACTAATGTGTGATTCTCGGCTAAGTTAAAGTGGATAATTTGAATTCACATTACTCTGAAACTATTTGAATAGATCGATAGATGCGAAGGTCACCTTACCAAGAACAAAATTAGCTCAATCGATGAAATGACTTACGAACCATTCATTCAGTGTATAATGTAACAACTTTTCATTCCAAATTACTATAGGTTAAACGGAAAGTGCAAGATGTTGGACCATTTGTGTAACACCCTGGCTCAGGGCTTAATAGGATTAATAGGATACTCATATCAACAAGTTGCAACTTCTTTTCTGGAAGCCCATCTCTTAAGAACTCCAAGGTTAAGCGTGCTTGGCCTAGAGCGATGGGTGACCGACCGGGAAGTTTTTCCCGGGGGCGCATGAGTGAGAATAAAGTGCGCAGAAAAGACTGGTGTTGGTCTGTGAGGGCAGTCTATGTCCTAGGAAAGCTATCAGATGTAAGCGGGCTTGACCTCGAGGAGGCGGGACGTTACACAATGGTATCTGAGCCGACCCTTGCGGTTTCACGGGCGCGTGTGTCAGTTGCGCAGGCATGGTGCGCATGGCTGGTGTGGACCTAGAGTGGTCACCCAGCATGGCACATGCGCTGGCACTAGACACACGGACGTGGCCAAGAGGGGACGTTCCTGGCCTAGGGTTGACCGACGAGGACGTCGGTCTCCTAAGGGGGTGAGGATGTAACACCCTAGCTCAGGGCTTAATAGGATTAATATGATACTCATACCAACAAGTTGCAACTTCTTTTCTGGAAGCCCATCTCTTAAGAACTCCAAGGTTAAGCGTGCTTGGCCTAGAGCGATGGGTGACCGACCGGGAAGTACTTCCCGGGGGCGCATGAGTGAGAACAAAGTGCGCAGAAAAGACTGGTGTTGGTCTGTGAGGGCAGTCTATGTCCTAGGAAAGCTATCAGATGTAAGCGGGCTTGGCCTCGAGGAGGCTACAATTTGACTGTACCAAGTTCTCCAAAAACATCCCAACCTCTAGCACTTGACTGCATTGTGAAGGCGGCCGTGCAAGGCGGCTGAGGAAGGGAGGTCATGCTTTGCTGATCAGAAATGCAGTGCCAGTGCGCTGGCTCTTCAGAACATTGTGAAGAAGCTGATCAAGACTGAGTGAGAAAATAGTGTTGCCCTGCTGGAATCTGGTAGTGAGAAATGAGATGAAATGATAGATGCCAGAGTTCTCGTTACCAATATACACATTGAGTCTTTATTAGTGCTATTAGATCTGTAAGTTTTTGTGTGAATCATCAGTGGGTGGACTGGGTGCACAAACTACCGCTTAATTTCTGCTTGAATGCATTATACTGTATGTACCGGATCTGAATGAGTGTATGGTGTTAGCAATAGCTTGGCAATGCTTCTTTGCTCTCGTAGTCTGCATGGTTTACATAAGTTATCCGATACTGGGGCTGTCGTAAAAAAATCAGGACAAAGCCTCGGGCCTTTTCTTACAAAAACTTATGATGATTCACTAACAATAAGCATGTTCTTTATTTCTTTTAACACAGACGACTGTTATGACAAAAATTGCAATTATATGTAAGTTTCTCGAGGAAAAAGAAAATCCAATATATTCAGAAGAAAGGAGGTAAGTTAAAAACAGAAATTGAGATCAGAACAACACATCCTTTTTATTCCGATATCGTAAACGGTCACTCTCTCAACAAACAGAAGTTTCTCTCATTACACGACCCATATATTACAAGGGCTCTTCCCAGCGTTCTATCATTTTGCGGTTACAACTTACACGACAACTGATAATAAAACAACTAAACCTTAGAAAGGGTTGTCGGAACCCATATGTAACCATGGGTCTGCACATACCCCATCCTCTTGCTCAACTCGTCGGCTTCCTGTGGTCCTCGGGTTCCCGGCTTGTATGGAACGAACTTCAGCTTGCCACCATCGATGTCGTGAAGTAAAGGAGTGAAGATTTCCCATGCAACCTGCAACCAACAAAAACACTGTCAAAACAAGTAATTCTCAAGGCAGCCCATTGCAAAGGAAGTACATATGCATGGTCAATCACAAACCCTCAGTTCATCTCAGCGAACAAAGTGCTGATGTTCTGCTGGTCTCCTCTTATCCTGATGAAACATAGTTATCGGTAAGTATACCATGATTCAAGAAGAATTGTTTTATCCACAAAGTTTCTGAGAACTGAATGTGCTAGAAATAAATTTAGCACAAGGGAAGGTTTGACTTTAAATTCCAAGATAATAAGTTGAAATCTCAAAATGCAACATGGAGATGCAGTGAACAACTCAATATACAGGGTGCCAACATATACTTTATCTTTTCAATAGACACTGTAAATGACATGGAAAATGCTGCACAAATCCAATTGGATCAACACAACTGTATAGCCCAATTAGGTGAGAAAATAACCGACATTCAAGTTCTTGACAAGTAAACTATTTTGTTGTACAAGTCTAGGCTGCTGTAAGAAAAAAGTATCAATATGCTATGCTATGCTCTACCCTATCCTATGCTATGCTCTCTATTTAAGCTCTGATCAGTGTCACAAGTACAACTATGCTTCATTGTCCAAGGAACACCAAATCTTCCAACGATATATCCAAGTGATTTCAAATGCTTATAAGCCTGGAACAATATGAGCTATGAAGAATACAGAAGTTTAAGCAAAGCATATAGCAGCCTTACAACTAGTTTAAACAAAATAAGTTGACATGCAGCTGCACATATCCAAGATCAGTAAGATGTTGCAATCCTAAACATGGCTCAACTACTAGGCAATGATTTAGAAGACTTCATTATGTGAGCGTTCAACGTTCCCTTCATCTGCTATCATCTGCTGGTTCAGGCTAGCAGCGATGTTGTTGGCAGCCATGCCCTCAAGGCCTTGAAAATGGCACCAGTACCTGTTGGTTCAGATGACCTGAAAAACAAACAAACATTAGAAGATGAGCCGCTTCCTTTGGAAGAAAAACAACATGCAATTCCTATCAAACAAGTGCTTGATAGAAGCATCAGCCAATAAGGAAACGAATGTACACCATACAGACCATGATGTTATAGGTTTGATCCCATCCATGCTGAGATGCAGGGGTGATGACACCAATGGAGTGGAAATAAATGGAGAAAGAGCTGGCAAATATTCAGAGTTCAGAACTGAGACATGTAAAATGCTAAGGTAACAGGCAAGACAAGTTTAAGCGATATTATTCAGATAGGTAACTGAATCAACTGTTCAAATCATCCCACGTGGAACAACAAATATGAAAAGGGACATACTCAGTACATGACAATGTTTAATTAGTAGGAAAAAACTTGGGTATCATATTGGCATATTCATATTTCTATACAACAATTCGGTAACTTATCTATGCAATCATGGACCTTTAGACAACGGAGTTTCAGGCAGAGGACAAACAAGCTATAGCAATTCTTATTCACTTAAGTATCACTATTTATTGCTTTATAACAATGATGCCTTCGTTTGCTTGCTTGTCTTAGCCTGCAGACTTCAACCGAAAGCAAGGAATGCAAGTAGCAGAGGAAGAGGAGAGCAGCAGGTGTGTACCATCTGGCCGTTGGTGAGGAGCGGCACATTGGGGACGGGGCTAAAACCGGGATGCGCGTCCCCGTCACGGTCGTAGCTCATCTGTGCCCTGAGCATGGACTCGGCGACGTACTGTAGGTCGTCGTCGTGCCCCGCGCCGCCGTCCTGCAGGCCGAACTCGCGCTCCAGGTCGTCGACGCCGTCCTCCTCCTCGTCGCCCGTCACACGCGAGCAGCCCTCGCGACGCTCGTACTCGTAGCAGGCGCGATAGTTGGTGGTGGGCACCGGCTTGCCGAGCCCGCCCTCCAGATTCGCCACCATGGACCGCCGCGTCCGTGGACGCGCGCACCTCGCCACCCGCACCCCCCGGGCAGCGGGGACGGCCGCCACGACCGGGAGCGCAGTCGCCGCCGCGGCCTCCACGTGCTCGGTTGGGGAGCTGAGGGCTGGTGAGAAGGGGTTGGGCCCAGATCTCGACGCAATGCGTCGAGGTCCTCTTGTGGACGGATCAACGGCGGCGGACGGCGGTGGCACAGAGACGGAGAATACAGAGACGGCGGAGAATGAACCCTAACAAGACAAAAATATTCATCTTTTTTTAAAGCAAATATTCATCTAACTATAGTACTTAAATCATACATCTCAACTATACTACTCAAAATATTATTTTTATAATTATGGATTTACCATTTTACCCTTATTAAAAAATAACTACGAAAAATGAATTGCCACCCTTTTATTTGAAGTCATATTCCTCTAAACTTTGGAGGCGTTGGGAGACGTTACGGCGCATATAAGCTCACCGACCATAGACACATCTAACGTCTCCCGACGCCTCCCTCGTTGACGTCTCTCAACGCCTTCCCTCATAGACCCACCAATCATAGACGCATGTAACGCTTCTGCTTTGCTTTCTAGTACGTACTAGTGCCTTTTAACGGACAGATGGGCCTAAATTCGTGGGGCCGTGGGCCAGGCCTACATTACTGGTCGTTCCAAGGCCCCCATAAACCCAGACTAGCCTAATCCGAGAATCCCAGTGGGCCCCGGTTGACAGCCCCACGTACGGCTCTCCTTCCTATGCCGCCTCCCCAAGCAAAGGGAGGCGAAAGCTCAAAACTCAAAAGGCGTCGCGGCTCCCCGGGGTCCACACACAGGCGGTGGTGCCCATGGCTTCGTGGCTGTTGCTCCCTCTCCCCTCCTTCCCGTGGCCTCCCCCGCCCCCGCCCGGCTCCTCCTCCGGCCGCGGCGGCGGTGGCGGTGGCGGCGGAGACGGCGGCGATTGGAGGCCGAACGTCGTCGCGGCTTTCGCCGGCGCGCAACTCGGCCGCTCCCTCCGCCGCCGCTTCGCCGGCCTCCTCCGCTCACCGGTACTGTGCCTCGCTTCACCTCTCCTTCCATTTCGTTCTCACTTGAGATGCAGACCATGATAGCGTTTACTTAGTCTGTTCCCAACCAAAGAGGCCTTACTGCCTTAGTCTGTTGTTGACTGAGCTCTCTCGCTCCTTGTTGATTGGATGGAGTTTCTTTTTTTCGTGCTTGATCAAATAGTTAATGTCAAGTGAACCTTGCAACTCTAGGAGGTGCGACATCTTGATGCCTTGGCGAAAATGGGTGACTTCTGGTTCGAAGGATCAGAACCGTTTGCAACATTCCCAATTCTTGGCGCGATAGGGAACGTGCTCTCTGCACCTTATGTTTGCAGCTCTGCTCTGTTCAGTGGGAACGGGTCAGGGGGTAGATACATCAGTAAAGGAAAGTTGTTGTCCAGACGGCCTCGTGGAATCGATTCGAAGAAGAGGCTCTGGACCAATGTCCTTCTTGCTCTTAATGTCCTGTAAGTCAGTGGTCAGTTTAAGTTTCTGCGATAGTAGCTCCGATCCTTTGATACATTTGTTGTTTAACACCCTTTTGCTCTCAACAAAGGGCTTATGTCGCTCAGGTAGCATCACAAGGAAAGCTTCTTTTGTGGGGAGCCAAGGTTAGTTTCTTGGTTGGAATTTCTTGTTCAGTTATGTGCTGTCAAATTTGTTAACCTAATACAGTTATGGCTATCATTTGCGATGAAAGATCAACAGTCTGATTGATAGAGGGCAATTTTGGCGTTTGGCAACATCATCTCTACTTCATGCAGATCTCACCCACCTTGCAGTATGTTTCTATGTTTGAGTTGAGTTTTATATTTCATATAAAAAATATCAGCTAACTTCCTACCTGTTGGATGTCGCCATAATGATGCAGTTCAATTGTTTCTCTTTGAACTCTATTGGGCCCATGGTTGAAATGTTAACTGGTCCTAGAAGATTTCTAGCTGTTTATTTCAGTTCGGCGCTGGCAGGTGTTTGTTCTTTACCTTGTTTGGATTGGATGGTAGTGCCCTGATCTTAAGTTATCATCTTCTTAATCAATTCGTGGGACTTCAATAGGTTCACTGATGAGCTATCGCTTTAGTGCGTCACCTGCTGTTGGTGCGTCAGGTGCCATTTTTGGATTGGTATGTCTACTTCTCCTCGCACTTGTGCTTGTTACCCAGTGCCAGAATCATGTTACCCCCATAGTGTGGTATAATTCACTAGCAACGTGAAACTACAAACTACGCCATCCGTTCCAAATTATAGTTCACTTTAGATTTGTCATAAGTCAAACACATCTAGCTTTGACCAAGTTTATAGAAAAATACATCAACATCTGCAATATCAAATTAGTTTCATTAATTTCTCCATGAAACATTTCTTCATAGTGCACTTATTTGAACTTATAGATGTTAACATATTTTTTTCTGAAAATTGGTGAAAGTTAGCTAAGTTTGACATAGGAGTTAGGACAAAGCTTAAGTGAACTACAACTTGAAACGGAGGGTGTAATTCGTAACTTCTAAATGGCTGGTATGATATTTCTTTGTAACTTCTCAAAATTGCACATCTTGACTGAACAGGCCTGAAACATGATTGATTTTGTAGTTTCTATTTCTGCATTCCAGAGTTTTCTTTCTTATGTTTACCACATTCATATTTTGTGAACAAAGTCTTGGTCTTGTCCTATTGAAATATGAATTCCCTGATACAACTGACCATGAAAGTGTTCACATCAACTTTATCTGCATGATCAGGTTGGCGCCCATGCAGTTTATATGTGGAGACATAGAAGATTCTTTGGGAATTCTAGGGAGAGTTTAGAACATATTGGGCGTGTGGTTGTCCTGAATATGGTATTGCTCCACTTTTTCCTGTTTATTTCATTTCGCCTTTGTTTCAAAAATATTCTTTGTTCCATCTGCAACATTTTTTTTTCATAGGGTATGGGCCTCCTCTCAAGGGGAATCGATAACTGGGGCCATGTAAGTCTCTCGATTTTCTACGCAGTACATTTTACAATATGAATGATTTAGCTCATTAGTTCACTTGAATACTGACAGCTGGGAGGCTTGCTTGGCGGAGTTGTCATGGCATGGTTCCTAGGTCCGGCATGGCAATATCAGTATGTGGCAAAGGATGGTAGAGCGGTTTTCAAAGACAGGGCTCCAGTCCTCCGACTAATAAAGGGGTAGACTTGTGTTGTTTTGTATGTACTTACGAGGGTATTCGTGAAAATAGTGTGGAAGAGAAGCTATAGGGAGAAAAATAGTGTGGAAGAGAAGCAAAAGGGAGAATGGTGAAGATTCAGACATACGCCGAGCAAGAGAGTGGCAGAAAACAATTGACTTTTAACTATTTTGGTACTTTGGGTGTCGAAACATTTCACTGCAGAGCTAATTGCTGAGGAAACACACACGAGGAGCTTATTGCTTTGTTCGGATCGTGGCAACTGTTAAATCTTCAAAGCTGAGACGGGTTGGGGCCTGTCAATTGTATTTTGTACTAACCATAGGATCTACTGTCAAGTTCTGACCTCGGACATTGACTGTTACTAGGTTTCTTCTGGTTCTGTATTGCGCGAGATGATAAAATATGTAAAGAGTGTCTCTCAGCGAACAGCGATCCATAAGTGATTAAGATATTTGTTGTAAGAACATATGTTTTTTTTGCCCCAGCAAGATTTTAGGACCAGTGCAAAATACTCAGCTTGGAAGAATTCACAGGGCGTATCAGCATGCACGTCAATTCACAAAGCACAAGGTAATGTGTCACTGTAAGCATCATTGAATCAACGCCAGGGATAAACTTACGAATTACCGATGGAACCAATAACACTTCTCTTAGCTTTATGTCTATCTAGACAACAAAGAGGATAAGTCAGCGTTGATTAAACGCTCGACGCACAATAAAACAAACGAAATCTTGCATGGAAGTTGTATGTTGTATTATGGATTTATTGTCAATACGTTACAAGAAAGTAATATTGCAGAACGTGGACCCGAGTAACAGGGTCCTTACATTCTCCTCTATATAAGCTCCCAACCCTTCGGTGAGAACTTAAAATTTGATAGAGGCATAGGGCGTAGGGCAGCCACCTTCGTGGCGTAATACCCTGGTTAATTAGCATGATATAGACCTATATCTACAGTTAACCTGACCTCAAAAGCTTTAGAATTCATCATATAGTTACAGTAGTCAATAAACAAAGCCTGATGTTTGCATCATAGCCCATGATTGCGATTCATGGTTATGCTTGAAGCAAAATTGTGACCTTGTCTTCTGGCTAGATTTTCCTAATGACGCATGACCAACAGTCGAAGCAACCCAGGTATCCAATCAAGCATAACTTCAGGTGTGAAGGAGACCTGCATATTGAGATACAAATAAGATAAACTTCTCAAGAAACCACATAAGGATTGTGAACTCAAAGGAAGCTGAAGATTCATATATACACGAGAAAAAGAAATGTGAATCCAACTAGCACTAGGATATGTTTTGAAACATTGAGTTATACAAATGTAAGGTCACATTGACGAAGGCAAGTGGAGTAAAAGAAACTAAATGTCTAACTGTGGTTGCAGATCGATCCCCATGTTAGTAGTGACAGTAGCATAGTAACAGTATCATGCAGTGCGCAATAAATACAAGAAAAATAATATTAATGCTAAATAAATTGTTGTGACCATTAATATTCTAAAGCAACTATCGATGGCCTTCGCCACCGAATAAGAGTTCTAACATTAAGAAAACGGCAAAATGCTATAGAGATAAAATATCAAGAAAACTTACCATAAGGCGATGGCGCAATTGAAGAGGACTTCGATGTTCTGCTATTCCGTTTTTTCCTTGGGGGCATCGAATGTTGAGACACTGGTCGTGGGGGTGAAGGTGTTGGCATCATTTGAGAAGTAGGTTCAGAGACTGCTTTTGGAAAATGATTGGAATTAGGTAAGGGGCGAGGAGGATCTATGTGAGCAGGCGGTGGATCTGCTAGATGAAGGTATTTTGGCGGGGAAGGCATTAATGGAGGTAGCCTGGGGTCTCTAACAATGCAAGGAGGTTTTAGCATTGAACTACCAGCATGAGAGGGATTAATACACCTAAAACATGGAAAGCAAGGGTGTCTGCCCCATGAAGGAGCTAAAGCTGGACGAGGTGCAGGGTAAGGGATGCTCCCAAATGGTGACAACAATGGTGGCATGCTTGGAGAAAGTGATTGTGAAGGCAATGGAGCTGGAGCCGGAGCCGGAGATGGGCTAGGAGATAAAACAGAGATTTTGTGTTGTAGGTACGATGACAGCTGAACACCCTTTACTTTACCAAATACAGAATGATTAAGCCCAAGATTCCTTGCATCAGGTTCTCTGATTAACTGAGCTAGTTGTCTCAATCTATCTGGTAAAAGATTACTGCTTCCATCTAATACCGATGCCACAATAGTTGCTGGAGCTTCAACTGAAGAACCAATCTCATTCCTGAACTGCAAATATATTTTCTGCAAATACAACAATCAGTGAGAATCAAATTGGAGCAACTGAGCCCTTTAAATATGCCACAACCTCAGTAGAAGAAACAAAACCATTAATACCTCGTATGACCTTAAATTTAATCCAAGTTTCAGCTGATCCTTGAGCTCTGTAAGATTACCCAAAATCTGATAAATGGAGCTGTTCAACACAAAGTTGAATAGGGGGTCTGTGTTCGCCCATGTAAAACCAGACTGTGCAGGAATGACTGTAATTCCTCCAGGGAATCTCAACAGCTCGAAAGAAGATGGATGCCCAAAAAGTGATGGTGTCAAGGACAGGTTCACCTGCTGGAGCATCATCTCTATTAAGGATGATCTCAACACACTTAGAGCCGGCAAACTTATTGAAGCATCTTTTGGATAAGGAAGAACACCAAAAACAACATGTGTGGAGTATTTAGAAGTTAAAGGGTGCATTGAAACAATGGAAACCTGCAAAAAAACATATTCTAATCAGCAAACACTGCAGGCAAAAGAAATTTGAGGAGAAAAAAAAAGAGAGAACAGGCATCAGGCACCTTGCTATTAGGTACACCAATCTCTTCAAATATGTCATTCCCTAGTTTGTATATGTGAGAAGTAAGGAATGGCACTGGCTTTTCCAAAGTGAAACCAACTTTGATTTCAGCTGAAACAAAGGAGATGATCTTTATCAACAGACATCACAATGCCTCATCAACATGTGACTGTAAGTGTAAAAAAAGGGCAATACCCTAAAAGTACAAAAATATATAATAGCATTTTTTAAAACAAAAAAAAAACAAGAGCACACACAGGTTCTAGGGAAAATTTTGCAAAGTCAGAAAAGATAAATGAAACGAAATGAAATGTTTGATTACATTATCTACTGAAACAGTGAAGTGGAAGGTAAATAAACATCTCAGCAACAAACAGGATGAATCCTCCATGAATAAAATAATGAGCTTCCTATGAAAATTAACTGTCGGTTTCTGCTGATGGGAACATAAATAGGATATAAAGAAATTCACTTAATTATAGTAACAGTGCCAGCAAACAGAAAGGACTGGATCAGTAGTTCAAACAATTACTAGTAGTAAGAATGTAAGATGCAGAAGGGCGGGCCTGGTGCAAGCGGTAGAGTCTTACCGCCTGTGACCGGAAGGTCCCGGGTTCGAGTCGCGGTCTCCTCGCATTGCACAGGCGAGGGTAAGGCTTGCCACTAACACCCTTCCCTAGACCCCGCACAGAGCGGAAGCTCTCTGCACTGGGTACGCCCTTTTAAGAATGTAAGATGCACAGGTTCAAGATTAAAGGAGGGACTTCCCTCATGCCTCAGCACCCAGTAGGAATAGAAAAATGTAAACAGTGGGGACAGTGAACAAGGGATTGTCGGGGTCCAGTGTCCAAAAATTGTAAACACATATTAAAGATACTATATATCAACAATTCAACAAAGAACATTAAAATACGTTCTAATGATGGTTTCAAAGGCAACTAGGTGTCCAGGCGAGTGCTGGGTCTCCAAGGCGAGGGGCCTGGATGCCTAGGCGACGCCTTTGAATCAGGGATTCTAATATTAGATTTGGCTGAAAATATTTGGAATACTTTTATCCTATCACCTAAAATCTCTAGAATTTAGAAGGTCGGCGTGCTTAATATCTTATGTTTCTTGAATCTAGTGATAAAGGTTTGAGAATTGAAACTGAGGTTGTAAGCCTCCCTCTCTCCTAACCATGTATGCCATCACAATGTTGAGCTGAAGCAGACATGTTTGTCAATATCCATTCACCATAGATATACAACATCTACATCTAAACACATCACAACATTTGGGATCTAGTTTTGAACAAAGTAAATTAAAATCTGGATCTTACAAAGTACCAGTACAATCCCAGACTCCTGTTATACTCCCTCCAGTCCAAAATACTGTCACATTTGACTTTGCATGGCCTATGATGTGTATCTTTGATCACTAATTTCTTCTAGAATATATTCTTAAAATACTTATTAAGAGATTTTGCAAGTATTTTGTATACAAATCTACACATATAACTTAGATGTTTCCAAACTAAAAACTGTGATATGGTTTTGTTTGACCAAAGCTTGTCCTAAATGACATGCTTTCATGACTGGAGGGAGTACCAAAATCACACATCTAAGAGGACAAACACTACCCTCAAAATCTATACACTGCAGCACCAGAAAACAGATGAAAAAACATATGTTACATGTTAACATACATAGACAAGAAGGTGGTCTTCATATGTACCAAGTTGATCCAGCCATCCAGGTCTAGCATCTTCAGAGACATTGGGTGAGAGAATTTCTGGAATTTTGGGATCTAGTTCAAAATTATACGGATTCTAAAAGCCAACTTCCACCCGAAAAGATAGTTCAATGCCATTTCAGGGCCCCCACATCAATTTGGAATTAAAACTTGCAAGTGGTAAGCAGGTGATCCAAAGCCAACAATAATTCAGAACTTTAAAACTACAATATGGATGAGCACAGAACTAACCAGGCACACTCCCTGACAGTCGCACCCGGAGCATGAAACCATGAAATTGACTATGAAATCGTGCGGATCCTAGCCCAACGGAGGTGGAATTGAAGAATCCAGCACCCATGCTGCGATCTCGAAGCGGTAATTTGCCAATCGACCCTACCGATCCGCCTCCCCACTACATCTAAAACCGAAATCAC